GAGTGGGACATGTGCTAGTGTAGTTGGTGCCCAGAAGCCAAATGTTGAACTTGCTAAGATGACAGGCCAATAGTACTAAGAATGGATCTTGATGCCTGTTGATCTTGGTGTTCCTGGCAGGTTTATATTTAGCTGTTGGAAGCCAAAATCTATATGAACAGGTAGCTTTATCACAAGTCCCATGCAATGTAAAAGTAACTCATTTTTATTTATCCATTTATGAAACATGGGTTTTGCTGGCAGGCCCAGCTTTTAGTGTCCAACTCATGGTGCCTTTGAGAAGCTGGGGCTGAACTGCCTACCTTAAACATTGCAGTCTATGATGTGTAAGTCCTCTGGTTACTGATGGAGTTCTAGTTCTTTTGACGCAGTGACGATACAGAATGCAGATACATAAATAGAGTCGTAGAGATGTGCAGCATGGAAACAGATCCCCTGGTCCAACTTGTCCATGCTGACTAGATATTCTACATTAATCTAGTCCCATTTGCCAGCATTTGGCCTATATCCCTCTAAACCCTTCCTATTCATATACCGATCCAGATGCCTTTTAAATGTTGTAATTGTACCAGCCTCCACCACCTCCTTTGGCAACTCACTCCATACACGTACCATCCTCTGTGTGAAAAAGTTGCTTCTTAGGTCCTTTTTAAATCTTTCCCCTCTCACCTTTGGATTTCCCTACCCTGGGAAAAAGACCTTGCCTATTCACCCTATTCATGCCCCTCATGATTTTATAAACCTCTATAAGGTCACCCCTCAGTCTCTGATGCTCCAAGGAAAATAGCCCCAGCCTATTCAGCCTCTCCCTATCACTCAAGCACTCCAACCCTGGCAACATCTTTGAAAATTTTTCTGAACCCTTTCAAATTTCACAACATCTTTCCAATAGCTGGGAGACTAGAATTGAATGCAATATTCCAAAAGTGGCCTAACCAATGTCCTGCACAGCTGTAACATGACCTCCCAACTCCCATACTCAATGCACTGACCAATAAAGACAAGCATTCCAAATGCCTTCTTCACTACCCTCTCTACCTGCAACCCCATTTTCAAGAAATTATGTGGATTTGGTGGTGGTTCACATACCTTTGCTGCCCTTGCTCTTTTAGGTGGTAGAGCTCGTGTGCTTGGAGTCTTCAAAGTAGCCTTGGAAAGTTGCTGCTGTGTATCGTAGAGATGGCATAAAGTCACCATAGTCTCATTCTCTTGTTAAAGTGCACTTGAGTGGCAGTGGGTTTAACCTGAGGGTCACCACAACTCAGGCAAGGGGCAAAGTTGAGAAGTTGGAGCTTCGTGGTTACCTCAGCTAGTAGTGGAATTGACACCTGTGCTGTTGGTACTACTTTACATTGCAGGCCAATTGTTCAACCAACTGAGGTAACCAACCGCCTGTGACAGGGCATACGCTGAAAGCATATTGTATCAGTGGGGAAGGCAGTTAATGTTTCAGGTCATGGATGGAATATCAATGAAGTGGGCTGCTCTGTTAAGCTCAATATTTCAACCCCAGCCTCAATACCCCACTACACCAGTGTTACGTGTTCCAAATTCCAGCCAATTAGTAAACTTTCTGAGTGATATTAGCAATTTTGCTCTGAGTTATGGATAGTTTTGTATTGTGGATCCATGCCATTATGAATGAGAGGATTCTGCCCATTATTTATTACATGTAGGAGCCCTACAGATTGAGTATATTTTGAACCCAACAGCCTGAGTTCAATTTAAACCTAAATTCTTCATTTTGACTGCAGATGTGCGATGCTCATTGTATGGGCTTATTCCCTAATCTATTTACCTTTAACTGCTTGAAATTAAAAAGAAATACCAATGATACATTGGTGGCAGGCATTGATAACCTGATTTCACGGATGACTAATAAGGTATGGTGAATTATTATGCCAGTGAGTACCTGTTCTAAAGAGTTAAGGTCTAAAGAAGAGGACAGGAAATTATTTTTAAAAAAAGACAAACAAATTGCACAATTACATTTTACATAATATGTAGAATCAGAGCTGAAGTTGACTGAAACACAAAGTGAGAGCTCAGCATTGCAATTTCACAGAAACCTGGAGTGTCTCTTGCTGCTGAGATGGAATTCCTGATTCTCTATGAAATAAGAAACCTGGTATTAACTGAAGTTGAGCTTTGACTCCAGCTCCCAAGACAACTTAAAAGAGGTAGCCATATAACTGGCTGTTCACGTTGGCTTCAATATAAGGGTTGAAGCTAGCCTTAGGTGGAGAAATGTGTTCCTGGACAATCAACTTGCAGTTAGCATCAAAGATATTTCTGGTTTCGGATACCAGGAAGCTGTATAAAGGAATATGAGAACAGCAGTTGGCCATTCACCTCCTGAAACCTGGTCAGCAACTCAATGAGACTACAATCAACTAGTGTCCATCCACCTGCCTTATCTCCTTATTATTTGATAATTGTGTTTAAACAGATGTGCACACTGCTATGTTTTAACAAGGTTGAGGTTAGTAATGTGATAGCAGTGTAAACATTGGTAACTCTTTCTCTTTCTGTCTCTCTCTCTCTCTCTCAAATAGTGCCTGCAGTATAAATAAAAAAGCAATCTATTCTCCCATTTCCAAATAAAACAAAGAACTGTGGATGCTGGAGCTCTGAAACAAACAAGCTGAAGAAGGGTCACTGGACTTGAAACATTAACTCTGTTTTTCGCTCTCTTCAAATGTTGCCAGATCCCTGCGGAGTTTCTCGAGCTCTTTCTGACACCAGGACAAAAATGGTCAGATTTCTATAATCATCCCTTACTGTTTCATGATATCAATTACTTTCTTGCCCATGTCAAATGAATTGAGACCCTCATTTGTACACAGTAACTCAGTAAGAGGTGCCCACCTGGATCTAGGTGCAAAGTCGAGTAGACACTCCAACTCAAATTCACACAATATGAACATTTAGTTCCATTTTTAAAACTACCATATTACGTTCCCTGACCTTCAAGTACATCATGTAAATATAAATGCTCAATGCTTTTAACCTTAGTATGCTGTTTTCTTCCAATGTAACATGGTGGTCATCTGGCGGGTAAGACTCTGCCAATAGCTCCAACCTTGCACCTCAGTGCATTTTGTGGTCAGCAATATTTCTCAGTTTACCCACTGTGAAATGCTTACAAATATCAATTGGATGGACAACTCTCCATCTAAATCAATATTCCCAGACTAATACAAATCAGATCCATGTTCATTTGAGGCGAGGGTTTAATGTGACAAGAATATTCACCTACACATGAAAGTAACAGCTTACAGTGTCATTGCTTTGTCTTTAGGTTAGAATGGAACTCCCAATCAACAATGCTAATGTTAATTCTCACGCACATATGCTCTGGAAATCTGAACTGCCAGTTCTTGGGTGCAGTCAATACAAATGGGTAACAGATTTCCCGTCACTGACAAATTGCAATCGGCCGAAAAGAATGAAATCATTAGGGGGAAAGCAATTGATGGATCAATTCAAAACAAAACTCACTGCTGCTCTGGCCACTCACTGAGCTCAAATGCATGCAACCACTATGCCACATGCCCATCGGTCTACCAATTGCAATTGGTACATTATACCAGTTCTGGTATAGCAATTAATACTATCCATGCCACTATTTCAAATCCATGTCACTAGAACACTGCATGCATGACATGCAATATATGTAACTGATAAATGGCCGGCAACTTGGTATACTATCCACAGTTATTTCAATAGGTATACACTAGACAACAGGTATATCCCAACCAACCAGGTGCAACAAATACACTGGCAGCAATAGAGGGAACAGATATATTACAGGCAGCAGGTAAACTATAGGCAGCAGGTATACTATAGGCCACAGGAGCCACAGATATATTGTGGGCAACAGGGATACTCCAGGCAACAGATATATTACAGGCAGCAGGTATACTACAGGCAACAGGAGCACCAGACATGCTGCGGGCAACAGGTATACTACAGGTAACAGATATATTACAGGCAGCAGGTATAATACAGGCAACAGAAGCAACAGACATACTGCGGGCAACAGCTATACCACTGGCAACAGATATATTACAGGCAGCAGGTATAATACAGGCAACAGGAG